CTAAGGAAGGAAGAGCAGTTGGACAGAGCTCAGAGAAATTAACAGTTTTAGCTCTTGTACCTTCCATGAGGCCAGGAGCTGTGTCCTTGTTTACTGCTGTATCCTGCAGTGTTTAGCACTTCACACATGTCAAGGAAATGCCAGTTAAGTGAATAAATAGGAGATAGTCATTCATATGGACATGTTTAGTGAGCATTAAATGTTCCAGAATACAGATTTGGAAACGTTTATATTAAATATAAATGAGCCCTCCGAGGAGCGGAGGGCTCATTCAGGGTAACTACACAGAATGAGAAAATAACAAAGAGCCAAGGAATGCCAGCGTTTAACAGGAGTGCTGACACTCAGAGGACATTAAGAAGGAATTAGAGAGGTGAGAGAGCTAAATGCATGTGACTTATAGAAGGGAGTTTGGGAGGAAATTGCAACATCAGGATAAGATAAGGATTAAAACCCACTCTTGGGAATTAGTAATTAGAAGATGTTTGGTAATCTCAGGAACTAGGTAGTTGGAGTACTGTGGTGGGATTAGAAACCAAACTGCTTGGGGGCAAGATCTGAGTGGAAAGTGGGTACAGTGGAGATAATGAATATTGACACTTTTATGGAGATTAGGAGGAGGTATGGTAGCTGGAGAGGGAGGATCTTATATTTTATTTTTTTTGGTTGGGAGTTTTGAACATATTTGTAGGAGAGGAGAGGAAGCCAGTTAATTGAAAGATAAAGGAGATATACTGAAGCCCGAGGAAATAATTATTGGAGCAAAGCCCCCGAAGAGAATGGAAGGTTTTAATGGGGAGAATGGGTAAACAGTGGGGCCATGGCTCCTCTCTCTGGGAGTGAAGGGAAACCAATAAGGATGAATGTGGCGTAGATAAGGTTGAAGTGTGGGCAGAAGAGTGGAGAGAGGTCACACATGATGCTGTGATACGATACGGGATCAACCATGAGAGAAATGCAAGGAGAAAAACAAAAATGATGAAAAGCAAGAATGAGTTAAAGAGCAGTGACAAGAGTTTGAAAGTTGTGATATGAAGCCCCCCCCCATTTGTGTGCGTGCATGTTTGCTCATGTGTATCGTGCTAGAAAGTAAAGCAAAGTATTGTTGGAGGATAATGGAAATGTGATTTCAGTATAACTTTGAGCTCAGAAGAGGGAGGAAGAGATGTTTTTAACTGAGCTTTGAATAATGGAGAAAGTTTAACAGCCAATTAAGTGCCTACTAAGTGCAGAACACTTAACTGCCAGGTTTAGGATGTCTTACAAGACATGATCCCTGTCTTGTAAGAAGCTTACTTTTTAAAATTTATTTATTTAATTTGTTTGTTTGTTTTTATTTTTGGCTGTGTTGGGTCTTCGTTGCTGCGCGCGGGCTTTCTCTAGTTGCAGCGAGCGGGGGCTACTCTTCGTTGCGGTGCACGGGTTTCTCATTGTGGTGGCTTCTCTTGTTGCGGAGTACGGGCTCTAGGTGCGTGGGCTCAGTAGTTGTGGCGCATGGGCTTAGTTGCTCCGCGGCATGCGGGATCTTCCCGGACCAGAGCTCGAACCCGTGTCACCTGCATTGGCAGGCAGATTCTTAACCACTGCGCCACCAGGGAAGCCTCAAAGCTTACATTTTAAGGGTAAGACATACAACATAAAAAATAACTATAATACAATGTTACAAGTACTGTTATAGAGGTTTATAGGTAGTGTTACCCGAAAGCAGGGTTCACCTCTTGGTAGGTGTTGAGCCAAAAGGCACAACCAAGCCAAAGATCGGGAGAAGGAAGGGTTTATTATTACTTGTAGCAAGTAAGGAGGACACCAGGGATCTTTCCCAAAGCAGTGTCTTCCCAAACAGCAAAATTGGGGAAATTTTAAGCTAAAGGGTACATGCATTTTATGAAGGGGCTTGGGTGGTTGACAGAATCCAGCTTTAGTTGATTGAAGTCAGGAGGGTCAGAAAAGGTCAGCATCATCATCCAGTTCTAGTTGATCTGGTGGTTGAGCAATGCAGGCTCATCTTTACCATTGAAACTGAACTGGGAGTCTTTACAACTGATATATTATCTTTGCTATTGTCACTTCTCTTGCTGGATAACAGTTTATTCCTGCATTCTTTTGTTCCCTTAAGATCCTTAATTACTGAGACCTGTTCAAGGACCAGCATTATGGCCAGGCTTAAGTCACAAGATGGCTTAGGCCAAAAATGGCTTCTCTTATGTCCAGAAAGCCACGCCTGGTTCTCTTTCTCTGGGGACCCCCTACCCTATCTGTTTACACTAGTGCTACAGGATCAGAGATGAATAAAGGATTGATTATGCATAGGTTGTGAAGGTCAGGGAAAACCACAGAAAAGAGGAAGAAAGAGTGTTCTGGGGAGCAAGAATGTCGAGTTGGCTTTTTTCCTTTGTACTTGGCTTTTTTCCTTTGTACTTGGCCAGTTTTTTCATATGACAACCAAGGGAAACAAGCAAATATTTTTGAGAAAATGCATTCCTCAAAATAGTAACTAATAAAATTTATGTTTGTCCTTGGCAAAATCATAGAGCAAGTTGTTTGTAAGCATTTTAGAAAAAGGAGAGAAATAACAGCTAAGTCAAGATATACTAACCAAACCTCATTTCCTAATTAGATTGACTTGTAGGTTGGGATATAGCTTCCTGATTGGTCAGTGGGTTTGGATGTGTCAGTGTGTTTGTCCACCGAAGAGCCCTGGGCCAGTTGCCTCTTGCCTCAAGCCGCTTCCTTCTGTTACCACAACATACTGTTTGTCCCAGAGTGCCTAACAAATATTGTTTTCCATGTGTACCATGATATGAAACAGATAGGAAAACTCTGAGTTCAGGGAATATCACAGACAGAGTGTATTTAAGCAAGGCAGACAAGTCACACAAGAGGAATCATGAGCTGGGTAATAATTCAGCCACCTAGATTGATAGCTGTTTGATTAGTCAGGCCCTGATTGTTAGTTAATGGTCAACTTAGAAGGTGATCTCTAATGCCACAAAGCTTTCTTCACCTGTAGCCCTAGCCTCCTCAACACATTTTTCAGGAACTCGAAGGAAAACATGAGAGGCATATCTCTCAATTTCAAGGATAATAAAACGCTCAATGAGGTAAGGGGAATTCACGTTAGGTGAATTGATTCAAAAATCCAAAAGAGCCAAAACCAACTGGATGAAGTTTAATATAACCAGTCTTTTGCGGTACGCGGGCCTCTCACTGTTGTGGCCTCTCCCATTGCGGAGCACAGGCTCTGGACGCACAGGCTCAGCGGCCATGGCTCACTGGCCCAGCTGCTCCGCAGCATGTGGGATCTTCCCGGACCGGGGCACGAACCCGTGTCCCCTGCATTGGCAGGCGGACTCTCAACCACTGTGCCACCAGGGAAGCCCAATATAACCAGTCTTAAAGTCCAACTTTTAAGTTTAGAAACAGCTCTAAATTATTTACTGTATGTAAGCATTATATAGAGCAAAATTTATAATTAAAAAACATTTCTGTTACATTTCAGAGAACAAATATGATTATCTTCCAACTACTGTGAATGTGTGCTCAGAACTGGTGAAGCTGGTTTTCTGTGTGCTTGTGTCATTCTGGGTTCTAAAGAAAGGTGAGTCTTGAAATGGTATTATATACTGGTTAAAAATCACAGGATCAAAAAATTTTAGAACTGAAAGGAACATTTCGTATCAGTTAGTCTAGCCCATTAATTTTATATATGAGGATACTAAGATACAAATAGAAATATGATTACTCATGTTTTGCAGGTGAGGAGCAGACTCAGAAAGTAAGTAGTAAGTGTTAATGTGGTGCTGGGTAGGAGGGGGCAAAGCCTGGACTCCAACCCACATGTCCTAGCGTCCCGTCCACTGTGCTGCCTCTTGACTTGTTCCTGTGGTGGGTCACACAGCGAGTTAGTTTTTGTTCAAATTCAGGATTATCTAAATCACTACTGTCTGACGTGATATGTAGCATACTGCAAAACAATCCCCATTGCCTTTAGGGGGACAGCATAGCGCTTTGGAGTCAGAGAGACTGTATTCTAGGGCAGATTATTTTACTTTTCTGAGCTCCAGTTTCATCAACTATCAAATAAGTATCAAATAAGGGTGCAAATAGTATCAAATAAGGGTACTAATCCTTCCTCAGATCAAAAGTATGTACCCTTTTGTGGCTATTAATTCTCCAGTTATTGAACCTTAGCTCTCTCTACTACTTTGATCCACCTTCCCACATGAGGTAGACATAGAGTTTACACTATTAAAGGGCTTGCCCAAGAAGTTGTCTTTTCATTCTCAGAGGTTTCAATCTTTGCAGAGTTTCTAGTTAGTGGAATACATTTCTTAATCTCATGAAATTCATGAAGTATTTACAGGGGTTAGACTTAAATTGTTTTCTATCTTTTCATTTTATTTTACATTCTCCGTTATAGTACCTTCTTAAGTTTTTGTAAACCTAGAGATAGGAGAATAACTCATACTAGGATGAGCAAAGGTTAATTTTCTCTACTCCCCTGTATATAAACTTTCACTTAGTTATCTCCCTTTCCTGATTCCCTCACCCACCACAGCACCACCGTCCCGGCCCCAGGAAAAAAAATCCCAGCATGAACGCTACATTTTTTGTTCCACTTATTTTAACTTGTTGATCTCTCTTGGCTTTATGCTCAGAGTAGTAAGAGAAAACATAAGTGTGTCCTGAGTTGCCTTCTTCAGTAATACGTCTGTCTCAAGTTAGCAGGAACTAAGAAAATCAGTATTCCTAAAGTGTTGCTGTTGTCAGAGATGAGCACGGTGGTGGGGTGAAGAAAGACCATAATGGAATCCTGTGTAGTCCGTGATTTCTCAAGGCTAATAGTCACTTATGAAAGCATGTTCATTAAGTCTCTTTTAAAGAATTATATCAGAAATTAAATACAATTTACTTTCTCTAAAAATATGTGCATTCTCATCAAGCTCATATATTTATTGCTGTATTTCTTTCTTTAGAAGATCATCAAAATAGAAACTTGAGATGTGGTTCCTGGAAGGAATTCTCTAATTTCATGAAGTGGTCCATTCCTGCCTTTCTTTATTTCCTGGATAATTTGATTGTCTTCTATGTCCTTTCCTATCTTCAGCCTGTAAGTAAATAATGACAAAGAAGATAGCATTGAAAAGACAGAGAAATGAATCCTGGAACTAACCTTTCTCTTTTTTTTTTTAATCGTTTTCCTTGGCACTGTTAGTTTCTCATTGCCTCACTGGCCTTCCTGAGGTTTGAGCAGAATTATCTGAGCACTGACTTACCAATCCACTTGCAAGACTCTTCCGCTGTGAAAGATAACTATTAAACTGTGCTGACTGATGTGTGGGAGCTGCTTCCTGACCACTGAATCTAGAGCCATCTCTCTCTGTGTAACCTTAACCAGTCTGCCTATTTTCTGAGCCATCCTGTGGTCACCCACCTCTAGTATTAATCTCAACATCCAGGACCTCCAAGCAGACTCCCATGAGTAACTCAGAAAATTATACACTCAGTGTACCGCTCTTTCTTACACTTGTTTTAATGTGGTGTATATGTATTCTTTTGGTATGATTTTCGTTTTCTGTTAGTCCTGTCATTTAACCAAGTTCTTTAAGGGTAGAGATTATATCCTCCCAATCTAACTGCTATCCATAACTGATAATACTAGGTATATTTCTCATCTCCCCTGGCATCCCCTACGCCAATTTAGAGAGCTGTTAGTAATCAGAATTAAAGTTTGGTCTCTTCTGCTTTTACCTATTACTCAGTTTGGATCACGTGTATATTTTCCCCTCTATATTTTCATTTTATAAAACGAAGGTTTCTATTGCCACATTTAAGAAAATGTGTTTTAATTTTCTTTAAGGAGCAAGTTCAGGCATTTTGATCATAAATAGAATTTCTGTTGACACTAGTCCTCTATTTGAAGCCTCTTAAGTATATCCAAATCAGTATGAAAGAGGGGTGAAAAGGAGGGGTCAAGAGGGCACTGAGGTAGAAAACAGGAGTTTGATTCTTTTGCACAATTTAAAAGATTAGAACCAGGCAAGGCCAAACCGCTCTGTAAAATAGAATAGTGTTACCATACCGGCCCAAAGGTAAGGACCTAGGCCAGGGGATCACATGAAGTTGCTTTCAGTTCTGTGATCCATTTTATTAGTAAAAGTTCATTCCATTTAAAATGTGTCCTCTCCTAAATTCTTTCACTTTGTTTTTCAGATCTGAGAATTCCTCCCAACAACATAATTATTCACATTCAAGAAGTGTATATTTGTTGTGTTTTATTTGCATCCAACAGACTACCTCTAAATTTATATCCCTTTGCTAAACCCCTAGTACCAAAGCAGGAGTGCAACTTCCTGTTCTTACAGCTTCTTGCTTTGCTCTTCCTTCCTGATTGTGTACAACCACAGATATTACAAAATAAATTACTTGGCATACATATTCTGTGTAGTGCTATGCCCACACCTCGTTGGAAAGAATTAAATAGAGATGCATGGAAGTTCGGGGGCAAAGAGCTGTGATATTTTATTTGTTCTATACTATTGCCTGGACAAAGTGGACACAATTCCCCAGGCCAGCAGCAGCGCTGTAACTGATTGATCAGAGCCGCCACTTCCCCACTCTTAACCAGCCACGTACTTTTCTTATCTCCTCTTACTTGTCTCCTAACCAGGGGTTCACAAGCATTCATCTGCAAAGAAAACCTTAAAATAATGGTTCCCATAAAAGTCAATAGGAAAAGAGCAATATTGTATTCTTGGAATTTTTGCTAGTTGTTATTGGATTTTACTCTTATTTCTTTAATTCAGCTGCATATTAGTCATGTTTGCTGGTTGCATAAGATTGTGGACACTCTTTAGGCTTGGTCAATTTAAAGTGACAGCAAGGAGGAAGGCAGTAGGATTTGTTTTTAGAAATTATTAATATTGTCAGATCCAATTATGGGGGCAGTGATAAATTTCATATTTTCTGGGCCAAAATGTATATATGTTCAGATTAATATTTTCATATGTGAAATTTGACTAAATTCACAAAAACAAACCTTAATAAAATCTGGCTAACACCTTTCTAAGTGTTTAGAACAATGTGAATAAATCCAAAGGACTGTCAAATATAAGTTTGGTAGTGAATCACTGGTATTGAATCACTACAGTTCAACCAGGTATAAATTGATTTAATTCCTAGAGCATTAAAAACGCTTAAAAACCTATACCTCCATCTTCTTAATGTATAAATGGGCCTAACAGTACTTGCTTTCTCTCTACCCACAGAATCAGTGTTAAAAGTCTCTGAGAGCTTGAAAAAGTATGCTTTATAATCATTGTAACCATTATTTCTGGACCTAAACTTATAGAGTTTATACGTATTTCCAGATCTGCACATAAAGATTATTACACAGGCATTTGCTGAATTTCAGCACATTTTCAAAGCCTGTACAATAATTTGATCATATCTATGTAAGTTTAACAAGCAATAAAAATAGAATTTAATCCTCTAGTGAAGTAGCTGCCCTAATAACCCCTCTGGATTTTGACCAAAAAGCTTTTTTTGTCAGGTGAACTTGCACCAAGCTGGGAGATTTCTGAGGTCAGTGCTTTGCTTGGATTGTAACTCTATCTTCTCTTTCTTTCTAGGCCATGGCTGTTATCTTCTCAAATTTTAGCATTATAACAACAGCTCTTCTATTCAGGATAGTGCTGAAGTAAGTAACTTGTTGTGAAAGCATATATCATACTTTAAAAATGGTACCGCCTTGTTTCAGATGATATACCCTCTGAATCCCAAGGCCGGGATTTTATTCCTAATTTGCTTTGTGTGTTGGGCAAGTTGTTTAACCCATCTGGAAAGCAGCTGCAGTGTTAGCCTGTCTAAATCCTCTGCGATTCAATGTTTGAAATGTATTTTCTTAGCATCTCAAAAGACAAGAGATGATTGGGTTTTAATTATTTTAATTTTTAGTGCCAGATTTTCAACAAAGAATTCAATAGCTTTTTTTTTTTTGCAGATTCTCTGTACACTAATAGGGAACCAAGAAGTTCCTAAGATTAATATATTTGTTATTTGGAGTTTGGAGGTGATAAAAAGTGGCAAATTCCTTATTAAACTCCTTGAGGTGACTACGTGATTTAAGCTCTAACTGGCAGAGGATTTGCATGAGGAATCTAGTTAAAATTCCAATTAATAAGAGTGAACTTATTAAACTTTCCAAGTGCTATCACTAATTCATCTCCAGGAGAACGTTTGAATAAAATAAACATTTTTAGTTTAGATAGGCTCTGCTGCAAAGCAAAGGCCAGAATGTCCTAAGGTGATACAGGATCTGGGTACTTAACTCCAGTTTAATTTGTTATTTAATGATGATGATGATGAAAATAAAATTAACTCTCTGTTATATTTGTTGTGATTGTTTTTATTTTAATTTTACATTCACATTCTCTTTTTAATTTGTTTCTCAATGTGCTGTGTCATAGTGTGTTTTCATAATTGATGTGTACAGAAGGATGAAGGGCTTGGTCCATAGGCACTCAGTAGTTATTTGTTGAATCCCATGATGCATCCAGTACATAAATTATATGAAATTCTTGAAAGGTTTTCTTTTACCCTGAGGAAACATTCAATTTAATAGTTAATGTAAGAGATGGGAAAAAAATGAACATAGCATTTCATCCAATTTAAATGTTAGAGTCACTGAAATTTGCTTTTGCTATCACTTTCTTCATTTTATTTATGAATTGTGAGAATAATTCAATTCAACTAGCAAGTTAAAGAATGCTAATCCAAAAAAACGTTTTAAAGTCTTTAAAATCAGCACGAAAGTCACTTTGTAGGATAAAAGTTGGCTTCTGAGAAAACATATGTAAGCAATCATATTTTTATATTGATTCCTGTGATAAAATTAGGGATGCACTTCCATAAAGGAATAATTGTTGGCTCTGACACACAATAAAATACTCACTATTAATAGGGGAGTGATGGTCTCAAAAACATGTATTTTTTTTGTTTTGTTTGGGGCTTTTCTTTTCACTTTTTTTTCAAGTAAAAAAAATTTTTTTTTCCTGTGAAGTGACAGTTTATGAGTACACATGGTATTATACTTAAGTTATTATATAATACATAAGTATTATGTCAAAATTAAATTAATAACTGAATTTACCAAAGAGAAGTTTAAAGGTATTTCCTGACTTGAAATTGGCTAGTAGCTCTAGCTATGCCCAGAGTTGTTTGTTTTTTTTAATGACCCCAGAGCATGAGCAGGGCTGTGGGCCAAGGTGAGGGGCACTTGGAAAAGCCCTGCCCAGGGTGGCCCGACTGCCATGTGGGCAGCTGCGCGGGGATGCTCTCCACCAGTGACTAGAAAACACTAAGGTCTCCTCAGGGCCTTTCTACCCTATTTCGACTTAACCCCACAATGACCCCATGAGATAGGTGCAGTTAGGCTGAGTCTGTGCCTGGAACCCAGAGCCACTAAGCATTTTGCAGCCCTCAGGCAGCTCCCTTTGGCTGTAGAAGAGGGAGTGTAGGTGGATAGGCTGGGGGCAGAGGGGCAAACAACGTTATGAACTACAGTTCAAACTTTTTTTTTTTTAACATATTTTACCTCTTAATATTCAAAGCAGTAATATGGATTCTTAGGCATGTGTTTGCTTTGTTGTTAATACCACTCTGTTTTGAATCCTTAGAAGTTCTTTAGATTAAAGAAACAATAAAAGCACTCCATTTTTATTATTTCCACAAGCACTTAGTTCCCAGAATGGGTCTTAGTTTGACTAATTCACAAATCAGCACTTGAAGCTACTCTAAATAGTGAAGCTAAAATGTGGTAATTAATAATGTCTTTTATGGGAATGCCTTTTAAGTATTACCTATTATTATATTTTAAAATCAACTTTGTTCTATTTTGATCTTTTTTGTTGGTGATAGTGTATGTTGTTTGTTAGTTTTTCCCTATTTAATCTACTCTTCATGAGTCATTTGATGGTCTTTTGCCCGTGGCAATAAAATTTTGACCTAAGAATAGCTTGAGTTCTATCACAAGTTCTTAATTTGTTTGCCATAAATAACTCATTTAGAATATCAAAGCTCTTGTCTTATACTTGCCTCTAGCAGAGCTATCAAATAACCTTTCCCATACAGGTAAAGGATATAAGGCTATACAGGTAGAAAAAAATAAGTCCAGTGACGAATGTAAAACTTACTTGTAAGAATTTGAAAGTGAGAAAAAGTGAAAAGTATCATCATTCAAATGTCTTATTCTAAACCCCATGTGAATGCATAGATTTCCTCCTTGAAGTATAGTTACTGGTTCAAAGTGGAAATGTGGCAGGCATGCCTCAAAGCCCTATTGGTTTGCTCTTAAGGCTTGGCAAAGTTGTATAATCTTGTTTGCTAGGCTTTAGGGAATAATAATGTCAGCCTGAACATCGAGATTTGGGAGATTAGAGAGCGAAACCAAGACCAGCACTTATTTTTACCTAAAGAATGTATATAAGTTTCTGTGATTTCTTCAAAGGGAAGGGAAAAAATTATTAAAAAACACATTTTGAAACATATGTTGGATGTCTTAGAAGTTACGGTGAACTTTACTTTCTGAACCAGCAGAAAAAATAAAAGTGCCACTCAGTAATAACAAGCATTTCTCCAAAACCATTCATTCACTTGATAAATATTTATAATTTCCCTTGATAAATCTGCCCTTGGTCACTCTTTGTGCTATTTAGAAAGTTATGATGCATGGTTTCTTGTAAAAAGTTATGTCTTTCCACTTAAATATTTTCTTGCTCTGCTTTTGTTTACCACCAGATATGGTAGAAATGCTCATATCTGACACAATTTGGACCTAATTGTTGAGTTACTAGGAAAACTCAAAGTAGGGATGTCATTTAAAATATATATATATATATACTTTAGACAATTTAACTTAAGGTATGTAAGTGTCGATTCATCATTCTTTTGATGGTTCAAAGTGGAACCATGGTTCAAAGTGCAACCTTTCCTTTGCATACGTGTGGGGTTTGCTGATTGGAGTTCTTTGGCTTCTTTCTTGCTTGAACCTACATTCATTACACATCGTCTGTGGTTTCTGGTTTCAATTTCATTATAGTGGAGCAAGCCTTAAGTATATTTTTAAAGTAGATTCTTCTGGATTTTTATTATTCATTCCCTAAGCTTAAACTAACTTACCTGTACCTAATTCAAAGGCAGGTTTTTTGTCTTGAGATTTGCCTTTTGTCCTCCCAAAGCATTCAACTTAGTTTTCATGAAAACAGCAATCCTTTTCATTCACTCATAATTTATGATTTCTGTAATCATTAAAATATATAATTACAATAATGAGGTCACCTGGCAAAAACACGTTTTGGAACAGAGACTCTTTGTGAGCAAACAGTTCACTTGGGAGCAGAGGCCTTCAGGTTCAGCAGCCTTCCAGCCAGAGGCATTCAGCTCTGCGCATCAATCTGAATGTTTTACTGGGGCAGTGGAGAGGTCGGTTAAGTGAGTTTCTACTGTTGAATCACCTAAGCCGTAAGGAGCAAACTTTTTCAAACTCTTCCGTGCCTAATCAGTCATCATTTATAAGAGTGCAGATCCTCAGCTGCCTTTATAGGATGATTTATTGTTTTATTTTCTTTGCTAAAAATCTGTTTTCACCCTAATCCTTAATAATTTTTACCTTCCTAGAACATTATCTTGAATGAGTAATTATTTGCAGTAGTTACCGGTTAGCTTATTTAAGGCTTTATTTCCTTGGATTCTTTTTTCTCCATGTCAATATTAGTGGAAGATCTATAGCCGTCAGAATTGAAAACTTCTAAAGGACCTGTAGAGTATATCATTGCCTCATTTATCTTGACTTACAGTACTTGGTTATATAATGAGTTTTATAAATTGAGCACCCATTTTTCATCTCTGTCTTTTCGGTTTCTGTTCCATTTGCTTTCTACTACTAAATGTGTACCACCTGCACCCTCAGAAATGTATGTGACTAGCTGACAGTTTCTGACCTCATGGACTATAAGGCTCTGTTGGTCTCATCACTGCATGCTAGATCTGGTTATATGAAAGTGTATACACAAGAAGACATATAGGGAGCACAGGTGTGCTGCTGCCTGTGCTATCTGTGCAGTTAGCAGTTTCACAGCATGAAGCTCTATGGAAGCATTGGTGAAATCAGACACATATTCCTGTACAGGCATCCTGGGAACTCAGAATTATACTTAAGAGGTGCATTGGTCCAGAAGGAGAACTTACAAAACCATGGCTCAGACTCCTTCCTTGCTCTTTCATAAATACATGACCTTAGAGAAGTCAGTTAAACTCTGAGAACCATTTCCTCCTCTAGAACGGAAACTGCCTGACCCATAGTAGGTGCTCAACAAAGGCTCCAAAATTCTTGCAACTTCAGTTCTCACCTGTTGCTTTACATGTCTGCCTTTGCTCATGTTACTCTCTGTGCTTGGTGTGCCTCTTCTCCACCTGACTAATCGATCTTCAAACTTGAAGGTGTTCCCCCCAAAAGCCTCCCTGGATGCCCCCACCTGAGTCCCATACCCCTCTTTCCTTAGTTAATGTACCTTCTTGTAGCCTTTGTATAGACTCTTGCCTCTTCCTGGGTATATTGCCAACTCCCTTTTCACATGAGAAACTTCAATTTATTTCTCATCTTTCAGCCTAAGTGTCATTTCCTCTTCGAAGCACTACCTGACTCTATTTCCAGACTCAGGTGTTGTTCCTCAGTGTACCCCAATTGTTCTGTGTATCATATGTCACACATTATATTGTCATTATTTAGTTCCATGGCTCACTCCGTATTAAAGTGTAAATTCTTTGAGGATGGAGACCAAGTCTTTTTTCTTTTCCCAGCGTGCCTGGCACATAGTTGCTGCTTATTAAATGTCTGTTGAACTGAATGAATTTGCAAAATGGAATAATAATCATCACATCCTCCATATCTGAAAAGTTTGTTGTTAGGAAAAATAAAGAAATAAATAAAGCATTGTTAGGACTTCATCAACTGAAACACTGAAAATATTTTTTCCTTGCCTTATCAAACAGTTTGCTGTATAATATTTTATGATCAGGCCATGAATCTGGGAACTAGCTTCCTCCTTAAATCATTTCTGGGTCATGAATACCTTTGAAAAGTTGACGGATCTTTGAAGGATCACCTGGTGGGGGTGGGGAAGACCAGGAATTCACCTATGTAGAAGATTTGGCACACACTGCAAGAATTCACAGATATCCTAAGCTCGTCACATTTTTTCTGGTTCATGGAAACTAGATTGAGAATCCCTGCTATAACTTATTTTATCACGAGATTAAAAAGTGATCGTACCAAACATCTAAGATCAGTTCCCAAGGTAGGAAGGAGGCTTAGTTAAACCTGTAGGTTAAAAGGAAACTTAAAATGAGAAGAAATGACTGAATGGCCTTAAGGGACAGCTACTATAAAAGCAGATAAAAAATAAGTTCAAGGGGCTTCCCTGGTGGCGCTGTGGTTGAGAGTCCGCCTGCCGATGCAGGGGGCGTGGGTTCGTGCCCCGGTCCGGGAAGATCCCACATGCCACGGAGCGGCTGGGCCCGTGAGCCATGGCCGCTGAGCCTGCGCGTCCGGAGCCTGTGCCCCGCAACAGGAGAGGCCACAGCGGTGAGAGGCCCGCGTACTGCAAAAAATAAATAAATAAGTTCAAGGGCTTCCCTGGTGGCGCAGTGGTTGAGAGTCCGCCTGCCGATGCAGGGGATGCGGGTTCATGCCCTGGTCCGGGAAGATCCCACACGCCGCAGAGCAGCTGGGCCCGTGAGCCATGGCCGCTGAGCCTGCGCGTCCGGAGCCTGTGCTCTGCAACGGGAGAGGCCACAACAGTGAGAGGCCCGCGTACCAAAAAAAGAAATAATAATAATAAATTCAAGAAGCAGACACACCCTGACGAGTTTCCTTTGAACTTGAATTGTGGGGAATGCAGGCAAAAACAGTATGGTTCATGCAACCAAGTACTCAAGTGATTTGAGTTTTCAGTAGACACAGTTGATAGGGGAGGAGGAAAAAAGACCAGTATTAAAATCTCTTTTTTCATCTTTGAACAGGAGGCATCTAAACTGGGTACAGTGGGCTTCCCTCCTGATTTTGTTTTTGTCTATTGTGGCCCTCACTTCTGGGACTGAGACCTCACAGCATAACCTGGCAGGACATGGATTTCATCACGATGCCTTCTTCAGCCCATCCAATTCCTGTCTTCTTTTCAGAAGTGAGTGCTCCGGAAAAGACAATTGCACGGCAAAGGAGTGGACTTTTTCTGAAGCTCAGTGGAACACCACGGCCAGGGTTTTCAGTCATATCCGTCTTGGCTTGGGCCATGTTCTTATTATAGTCCAGTGTTTTATTTCTTCGATGGCCAATATCTATAATGAAAAGATACTGAAGGAAGGGAACCAGCTCACTGAAAGCATCTTTGTACAGAACAGCAAACTCTATTTCTTTGGCATTCTTTTTAATGGGCTGACCCTGGGCCTTCAGAGCAGTAACCGTGATCAGGTTAAGAACTGTGGGTTTTTTTATGGCCACAATGCATTTTCAGTAGCCCTTATTTTTGTAACTGCATTCCAGGGCCTCTCAGTGGCCTTTATTCTGAAGTTCCTGGATAACATGTTCCATGTCTTGATGGCCCAGGTCACCACTGTCATCATCACAACGGTGTCTGTCTTGGTCTTTGACTTCAGGCCCTCCCTGGAGTTTTTCATAGAAGCCCCGTCAGTTCTTCTCTCCATATTTATTTATAATGCCAGCAAGCCTCAAGGTCTGGAATACGCACCTAGGCAAGAAAGGATCCGAGATCTAAGCGGCAGTCTTTGGGAGCGCTCCAGTGGGGTAAGTTTGTGACGATGCTGCATTTTTGCCTGTTCTTCCCAAATTCAAAGTGTAGTTATACAAGAAAAGAAATAGATCAGTGCTGATTTGGCACAGGGCGTATTGGATTTCTGTGACTTACCGTTCAACAAACATTTGTTGGACTCCTTATGTATAAGGGCTCATGATAATGCTGTCAGGGGTTGAGAAAAAGTATAAATCACAGTCTCAAGGACCTTATGCATTAGTTGTATCATAGAATATTACAGTCACAGGACCAGAAGATGCATCACAGGTTATCTTGTCTAGTCTCCTAGTTTTACAAGTGAGGAAACAGACTCAGAGAGGCTAACTGGGTTACAGATAGTAAGTGAAAGAACTGGTACCAAACCCATTCATTACTCTTTCCACCCCACTGTAGTTGGGGAAACAAGCCTCATTCGTAAGAAAAGTTGATCTTTGACATTAGTAAGTCTTATTAAATGTAAGTCAAAAGCCTGGCTTCTTTCTTTTCGCTGTAGTTTTTCGTAAACCAGAGTGTGCCAGAAGGGCAACCTTGTTTATCTCGCTAAGACGGTGGTTCCCAAGGTTCCCAAAAGGATCGCTGCAAATGCATAGTGATCTCTTGGAGGCTCAAGTTACGAGATATATATTTAAATAAAACATGAAATGGAGTCCTCTATCTAGGTTTAAATTTACAGTTTTCATGACAACACAAAATATGAGATAGTTCACACAATGAACATTTTACTCTTCAGGAAAGTTAACCTATTTCTTATTAGATACAGTTCATGGCAAAGCTTCCCTCAGTAATGCCTCTGAAGTGATGATATTTACAACAGATTCTTAAGATGAAAAAATTAGAAGGCTGCTCTGATATCAGTTAGAATATAGATTTAGAAATCCTGTATTCTTTTCCAACAGTCTAATAACATTGCTTGCCCTACTTTTTTTAGGTAGAAGAAAATCAATGTAGGTAACAAGGCCTAGTTTATACCTATTTCTGCAGCCTTTAGTCATTTCCCTCCAAGACCAGCAGAGGCCGCTCCTTACTTTGCTCTTGTTAACTTTGAAATTCAAAAGTACTGAAGTGCATTCCAATTTTTTATCTCATTGTATGCCTGCGGTTAACTTTCCAAGAACTTATTTATTTAATTTCATTTAACAAGATTATAGTTTAATTAAATAAAATCCATGATTTGTTAGTAAGGTTTCTCCTTAGTAATCATTAAAAATGGGACATTTCTAGTTTTGTCCTAATTAATTACTGATTTCATGTTTCCTTTTAGGATGGAGAAGAACTGGAGAGACTTACCAAACCCAAGAGTGATATTGAATCAGATGAAGATGCTTTCTAACTGGTACCCAAATAGTTGGCAGCTCTCATAAACCTTATCTTCACATTTTCAGCATGTGTGATATTTATCTTTCCACTTTGATAAACCAAGAACATTTCTAAAGCATAAAACTCTTTGCATATATCTAACCGCTCCCTAAATAATTCCAACCAAAGCTTAGAGTACCCAAAGGCTAAAAAGTTCTAAGGAACTGACGTAAGAATAATAGTATGGAGACTGCATTAATGGCCTGGTACTTAGTAGGTCAAGATATATTTGCAGATTATTTTCCTTGTTCCTCCATTCCAGAAAACTTGTAATAATCATGTTAGCTGTACCCTATAAATATACAAATAGAGATCAGTTTGCCAGATTTTCAGAATTGTGTAGTTCTGCTCTGCATGCCATAGTCTTCCCTTTTTTATCGTTATAAATATCACCTAGGTTGACCCTTGAATTTTGAGACCATGGAGATAGTCATTTTGTAATTAAAAAGCAATGAGACTCTAAAAATGTGGTTGAAGGACCTTAATAACTGGCCACAACATTGATTTGAGAGTAGTGTAGTCTGTGCTAAATGTTTTGCCAAAGAAGCAAATTTTTCAAGAAAAATCTCAGAATTTTAATTTTTAGGAATTTGTGGGAAATCTTATTTTTAGTGGTTGTCTTTTGATGTTTTTCTACACAAATAAGCTTCCATTTAGGTGAAAGTGGGTTTCCAGTCCCCACAGTTATCACTTGTATTTTACATCACTTAAACGAGCTATGGTGGGTTTTTTCTCCTCAGTTTGACCACATGACTCTTGAATTACTCTATTTTGGAGAACTAATAACCCACTTTTATTAGTTATTAAATAGAACTTATGACTATTTTATATCTTTATATCATACTCTGTTCCTAAAGGTTGAGACACTGGCTTCAGAATCATGCCAGGTTGTCAGTAAGACTATTGCCGAAGAGTTCTTTTAGAAGAGTCACTTTGCAAACAAATGACTTTTACTGAAATATGAATAGTATTACTCTAAAAAGAGGAAGGCCAGTAATAAATAAAGCACTTTATAGTAACCATATTGCACCCTTAAACTGCATGGTATTTTTTGAGGTATTTTTGCATGCATCCAGTTGAGTCTATGAGGTAGGAAGTCAGGTGATAGATAATTTAAAAATGAGAAAACAGAAATGACTTGCCCAAGGCCATATGGTGGATGGTGATGGGACAAGTGTTGGCTTCAGCTAATAGACCTGTGTGTTTATAGAGCACTACACTGTAAATGTGAGCTTTAAGTTGTCGTTTTCATGCAGTCTGTACATCTCTTCTTTCCCCTAAATTTCATACAGATAAATATAAGATAATACTATTACATAATCCATCTGTGATATCCAGAACAATATGAATGGCAAGAGTTGGTGGAAATTTATAAATAAAATAACTATTAAACACTTACCTTGTGTTGCCGCTTTGTTATATGAGATGGAATGCAGAGTATTTTTAATTTCAAAACGTAATTTCAAAAGAACTTTTAAAACTGTCTCTTTTTCAGTAGATCTTGACTTCTGAGAATAGCAAAACTTTACCTTATCATAGGCGTTCCATCAGAGTAATGTGAAACAGAAAGATTACTTTATTATGGCAATTCATTTTAAGGTAAAGAAAATCAGCTATAGGAAGACCTCACTTTTAGGAAATATAGCATATAAAACATACTTATTAAACACATAAAATTGCAACAGTATTACTTGTGAAGGTATTGCCTACGGGATATATTAAATAGCAGATCCCACTAATTCATGGAGATTGATTTTCTCATTTACAGTTGCTTTTTCACCCTCCTTTTCAGGAAAGCATTTATTGCCCAAAGGAAGGTTTACTCATCTTAATTTACAAATTAAGTAGAGAGAGGGAAGGAGCTGGGACTGAAATGTGAAGTTCTGATGTGGATGCACTGGACTACAGTTGACCCCTCAACACGGGTTTGACCTGTACGGGTCCACTTATGTGCATATTTTTTTTCAATAAATACAGTCCTGTGCAATCACCGGTTGGTTGAATCCTCGGATGCATAACTGCAGATATGGAGGGCCGGCTCTGGGACATGAGCATCCTCAGATTTTGGTCCGCAGTGGGTCCTGGAACAAATCCCCCGCAGATACCAAGGGACAACTGTATTTTGTGGGCGCTGCTATTTTAATAGGAGAGTAACTGGAAGGTGAGAGGTCTAGAAACCATATCCTATCATCTTAGGTGCTCTTGGATCAAGTGTGTAATCTGGGGAGAACGAGTGTCATGTGGAAAAAGAAGTAGACTTCTTTCCTGTTCTAAAGAACAGGTTATAGGGTGATGGTTATTCTTTCCTTATAAGGAAGACTCTCCTAACAAATGATACTTTCCAATAATGGAGAAGGCCTTCCTGAAGAGTAGTAGAGAGTAGTAGTAAATTCTCAATCACTGAAGTGTTAAGGAGAGATTATATCAGCAGTATGTTTTAGAAGAGATTCCATCATTGGTATAGAAGTTGGACTAAGTGATTTCTAAAGTCCCTTCCTATTTTTAGATTCTCTTCTAAGCAGTTTTGACCTACAACTAATGAGCTGACTAGCCTTTGGTTGGACCACAAGTATGGCCTACAGTGACCTGATTCCAGCTCTGTCACTGATCCTAGGGTCAAACTTCTATCCAGCAATGTGCCTAATCCTGAGGGGAAGCAGGATGTGGCTGTTGGTTATAGAGGGAAAGATGGCTTAGACCCAGATCCCAAATGCTTGGCCAACTGTGTCCTGCTGCCATAGGTTTTCAAGGTCTATATGCAGAGGAGACTCAGCGCAGAGTTACTTTGTTTATAACTCTAAGGCTTTTTGCATCTGAATCCACGTGTGGAAGCCCTGTTGCTGGTGACCTGGGTTAGACTATGTGGGGCTGCAGGGAAACCTTTTGCTCTTGTACAGGCCCAACCTTGACCAGACACAGCCCAGGTCCTCCTTGGCAACTTCTCCTTTTACTTAAGTCCTGATTTTTCCTGCGAACTCTTACCATTCTAGTATGGTGAAGGGGCAGAGAAAGTCAAACCCAAAGGAAAGAGAGTGGTTTTCCTTCTCTAAAGCCGAGAGCAGACTTTCTAATACTGAGTAATATATATCCCTCCTTTAAAGGCAAAAAAAACCTCTCACAGATCAGTGTTGACCTTTTTTTCACTTTACTGTAATTTAAATGCATATGAACATAAAGTATAAACTTCTTATAGTTTTTATATGAAAACCAAAACAAATTTACAATGAAAGTATAAAGCTATAAAAGCAGTACATTTTCAATTCAAATAGGAATTTAGTGAGAAGGTGATATTTTGCTCAAATGGAATCACAGTAAACTTCCTAACAGATCTGCAGAACTTCTGTCCTCGCTTGCTATTTTACTTGCTTCAAGCACCATCCTGTCTCTGCCAAGAAAGATAACTGAAACCTGCTGACAATGCTGGTAATGCATTTAATCCTGCTGGGATTTATCAACCCATGTCCCTAACAATCCCATACGGATGTGGTGTGTGTCAAGCTGCCAGCTCCCATTGGCCGCGATGCCCCGGAAAGATTTTAAAAACGTCAGCTTTATGTGTTCCCCGAAGCTTTGAAAGAACTCACAAATAAAATTGCCTAGGCTTGGCACTTTTTTGAGGAGTACTTTTTTCCCTACAACAGTCTTTGTTTCTTCCTCCTCTCCTCTTCTTCTTGATTCACTCTTGATCATTTATATTCAATATTTTGCTAAAAAATTAACCATCCAGATTTTCAAACTTATTTGCACAGGAATTCGTGAATCATGCTCATAATCCTTTTACTTATTTCCTCTTTTGCTATAGTTGTTTTCTTTCTCATTTTTGATTTTGTGTATGAATGGTGTCTCTTGGTTTTTTAAAAAATAGGTTAACGAGCAGCTTCTAATTTTTACTTTATTAAAATTTATTATGTTCTGTTTTTCTAAAGTTTGTTTTGTTCTTTTTCCATCTTCTTCAAATGTATTTGTTTTCTTTCTTGCTTGTTAATGAACATGTTTATAACTAGTAGAAAAATTCCTTGAAGTAAGTAGACTCCAGGCCAGTCCCCAAAGACTTTAAAATATAGCATTATCATTGTTATTTTTTCTAATTCTGTTTCGAGTCAAGAGGAGTGTCATTGAGGATTTTATTCATACTTTTGTTAATTTCTAGTTTTTATACACTTGGTTGGAAAATGAGATCTGTGCTCTTCCTGTTGTTATTTGCATATTTTTATTGAATTTATTATTGTAGTTTGGCTCATCCTTTGTGTAAAAACTTTTTTGAGAAAGTTGATGTTGGTTTGATATTTTGAACCAGTTTGAAAGTTTCTTGTCATATTTTAGATTTATTCAACTTTCATGTCTAGTCTGTTTCACTGCTAGTAGTTACTTCTACATTTTTAAAAGCAAACTTAGAACCTTATTTATAAATGTTTAAACCTCAATAATAAAATATGGTCATTGACTTCTTTCATTGAAAGATGAGGAACTTAGGTTATTATATTTCCTGCCAACTCCTTGTTTTTCATAATAAGCTCTGAGAATTTTATCTAGGTCTGCTATGCTGTATTTCATCTCTTCTAGGACTCACATGTTTTCACATTACCATCTCTGAAATTGGGGTGTGTTAAGCAATGGCATGTTAATATAGCTGCTGCCTCCTGGCAGTAATGAAGTTGTCTTTGCTTGCACATGCAGGCATTTGGCACGGGCATACAACTTCTTGATGTTTCAGTCAACAAACCACTTAAAGACCATTTGAGGAGAGGATAAGAGTTCTGGTTGTTGTCTGAAAATCTTTCATTGGTACCTCCTGGTAAGATCAAGAACGTGCCAGCATCAAATTTTACAGAATAAGTGTCAATAGCTTGGAAGAAGACCCTGGAGACAGCAGAGAAACTCTCTTAAAATGCTTCATCATCATCACGTCTCCCAGTGGTGCAGGGAACTATCTGCCTGGAAAACCTCAGACATCTACGACTCTGCGTCAAAAAGTGATTCAAGAGATTCTGGCTCAAAATGTGAAGATATTCTAAAAATAGCTTAATTTATTTAACTTATAGTTTCCCTTTTTATGTAATCAGAAAATGCTACATGATAAATGCAAAGTCTTTAAAAGCTCTTTAAAAAGAGATATAAAATGAAAATTCTAAATGACAAGAAAGTAATATGTTTAATTGACTGTTTGTTAGCAGGACATGAAATAGTGGTGTCTCTTAGATTTGATGTTGTCATGGATATGATGAAATTTGGAAGTTCTTTTTTTTTCGGTAAGCGGACCTCTCACTGCTGTGGTCTCTCCCGTTGCGGAGCACAGGCTCCGGACGCGCAGGCTCAGTGGCCATGGCTCACGGGCCCAGCCGCTCCGCGGCATGTGGGATCTTCCTGGACTGGGGCACGAACCCGTGTCCCCTGCATCGGCAGGCGGACTCTCAACCACTGCGCCACCAGGGAAGCCCTGGAAGTTCTTTTTAAAATGTTTTATTATGCACCTTTTCCTTCAAGAATTAATAGTTTGCCTTTTAGTTTGTAATCCCAATTATCACAGCTAATTAAACTTTATTCGTTCATGACATAATTTGTTTATTCATAACTTTAAATGCCAGTTCATCTCTCAGCTGGGAGCTGTCTTAAAATAGATTTTTCTCTTCCGGAAGTGTTTTCGACTGATACACTTCCTGAGGTTTTAATATTTTTTGGTGTCTAATAACTACTAACTGCAGGTTTTTTCGAGTCATATTATTGTTCAGAGGTTTTGCATTTTTATTACTTTCTATAGCTATTTAATATAATATAAATAATGGCTTGTCTGAAAAATAATTCTTAAGTCATCTTTTTTTTCCATTTAGAAATCTCCTTTTTTATCATTTAGCGTTGCCGAAAAGTTGTTTCCCTGCTCTATTACATATGTACGTATGTATGTGTATATGTATGTCTAGGTGTGTGTGTATGCGTATATGCACATATATATATATATATATATATATATATATATATATGTTTTTTTCCCCCATTTTTGTAGGTGAGCTGATTTCTAAGCCTGGGTGCATGGATGCCTCTGTACAGATCTTTTCTTTAAGATTTCTGTGTACTCATCTTTAAACAAAATTTTAATCAGTCCCAGTATTTCCCACAAAATGGTGTAGGTGAAATCTCCCTTACCCAATTGCTCTTTACCTGGACCCTGAACGGCATCTTTGAAGTTGTGTTAAAGCTAGAAGGTGTTTTAAGAAGGTGGAAGGGAAGCAGGACCATAGAAAATTGCAACGAGGTAACTTTCTGGGTGTGTACTTTTCCTCTATCTCTGTTGAAATGCCTGCTTTAAGTGCCAGTTCCATAGAGATAGGGGTAGTACTGTCTCCTGTTGTGAGGAGAGGGTATCACTTGACTTTTAGTTTGTTCCTCTGTTTGAGACTGAG